TGTGAAAAAATGATCGTAACTACAAATAAATTTAGGAAAAATTAGTTTATGTATAATAATTAAAAGCTCATTCAAATAATATTTATTGATGTTACCATTGCTGAGTGCCATTTTAGATCCTTTACAACAATCTTTCTTTTTCTAAAAGGATCATTCTCATCAGTTTCTGATACTTCAGATGAGTTGTATGAGGAATCATTCTTGATTGATCAAAGTTCACTATCATTGAACATTCAAATTAATGGATCCCCAATGGTTTTTAAATGCTTGATTGTATTATTCTAATTTTTTCATTTCTATAATTATTGAATATAATAAATTAGTAAAGAATAAAAGAAAAATGAATTCGTTCATTGCTTACATCATTTCTTCAGCTATTTAAATGTTTTCATCTGGTCTCTTTATCTTGAAAGGTCAACGATTGTTGTTTTTTAAGTACTCTTCATATTGGTGCTTATGTCGATTGTAAATCATATCGTATATAATAGCCTCTACAACAGGAAACATATCTGAATCTAAAGCTTTCATAACAGCTGGAATTATTGTATCATTTACGAGACGATGTTGAGCATCAAATGTCTTATCCAATTTTAATCAGCTTTCAGATAGTAATCTTTCAATTATTCAAAAAACTTGACGTTGAAAATAAAATAATCATAGCATAAGTGTATATTACGATAAAATGAAAGCAATGAAAAATTACTTACCCTCAAAGCTTCTTGGAGATCATTAGATAAGTCTGTCAAATATAAATACCAGGATATTCTAGCACCTTCATCTTGATTAGGATTAGAAGAATTTGAACCAGATCTAGAAAAACTATATGTTCTTTTAATTTTTCTTCTGGAAACTAACTGTGATTGGAATTGTTTTCTGTTGAGACTACTGCATGTATCTGAATTAGACAATTCAATATTGATATCTTCAGCATCAGAATAATTGTCTGAATATTATTCTGACAGGATTTGTAAGTCATTATCATTTTATTTATGCTAGACGAGTTTAAAAGAAGAATATTATCAGATACTGATTTCTTCATTTTGCTTTTCATAAATTCCTTAATTAGATTATGAATTTCGTCATATTGTAAGAATGAAGCAACTGAATCTGAAAGTTATAATAAATATGTATATAATAATACAATGTATAATTGATGATAATAAATTAAAACTTACCTTTATTCTTCTCATCTATTTTATAATTATTTTTTTTTGTAATACAATGGTCTTTCATAAAATTTTCTATCAGACTCCAAATCAGATGATAGAGATCTATACCAATGGTTATGAAATAATATTTGATTATACAAGCGAAACAAGTGAATGATATTATTGTTATGTTATAACTCACTGATTATGTTTAATGTGTTTTTTGTTTTGCTTGGAAGTATTTCTCCTGTTTCTATCCATATCTCTTTTGCTTCTTGACTGAGAACTATCTTGACTTTGTTCTAAATGAGAAATAACTTACTTTTGTTAGAGCGATGAGTCATTATTAATATCTGAGAACTATCTTGACTTTATTTTAAATGAGAAAATGACTTACTTTTGTTAAAGCGATGAGTCATTATTAATATGAAAGTAAAGAGGAAAGAAATTTTTTTTTAGTTATTCTAAAAGTTTGTTCTTTTATATCTATTAAATAAATACGTTTAGTATAGAGCATAGTAAAAATGTAAAAAGTTTAATATTAGCAGATCAAAGTTTAAGTTTTTTTACTTACTGTACGATTATTTTCCTATAGGTATAATCATATATATATATATATATATATATATATATGATATATGCACGTTTAGCATTTGTTTTATTAGTTCATTCTCTGATTTTTTTTATATTTTTAAAAAATGGTTAAACGAAAAATAAAAAAGGATTAGATAAAGAAGCATTGGTAGCATCAGTAACACCAGTAACAAAATCTACAAAAGTTCGACCAAAAGTACAGTATAACTGCAAAAAATGCAATGGCAAACTGGTCGACACAAGGACAAGATAAAAACATGAAGTAAAAGAAAACTGACTTCAAGCTTTTATCTCTGAAGTGAAAAAAGGCAAAGAAAGAGAGATTGATTCAATACTGATGTATTCTCGTAATTCAGAGAGTCATTTTTTGGCTAAAGTTCAATCAATCATGGTTGGTTCTTCTCAAAATTTTTATGAAGATAATGTGATAGTTGATAACGATTAAGAACAATCTGATGATAAAATTTTTATTATGAAGTAAGTTTTTGCCAGAAAAAAGCGACGAAGGTATGATTGGTTTTACAAGATTAATAATATTATCAATACTATTATCATTACAGACGAAGAATCTAAATAACAAGTTAGTTCATCTGATGAATTTGAGGATGAAGAAGGATCTCAGTCCATTAATAATTAACTAGCATTAGATGATGATGGACCACTCTTTAGGATGACAAGATTCTGATTGAGTTATTTGCAACTCCTGGTGTTGATATTATGATTCTGATCAAAAAGATTCTACTATGAATATGAATGTAAGCGATTCATAGATCCTTCTCTGAATATTTAAGTATCAAGAAAGGTTTAAACTTTCTGACATCGCAATCAACTCGTTAATTGGTTTCTTTGGTCTTGTCTTAAAAGATATCGATTTACGTTGATTTGAAGAATTTCCTCTAACTACTTATATGGCTAGAAAGTTGTTAGATATCAGGAAAAAATCAAAAACCTTTGCGACTTGTTCAGATTGTAACAAGTTATATGATTCTACAACAATAATTTTAGCAAATTCAAATAATAATATGAATTTAGGATTTAAATGCATCTATATTGAATTCCCAAATCATCCAATATAGAGTCAATATAAATCCTGTAGTTCAGAATTGTTAATGAAGGTTCTGGTAAATAATAGATATATCTGGCGACTAAGAATGGTATATCCATTACTATCTTTAAAGAATCAAATATCATCAATGTATCAAAGACCAGGATTTGAATTACTTTTGAATAAATGAGCAAGTCAGAATACTAAATTAGCTTTATGACTGATATTTACGATGGCAAAATCTAGAAGACTTTCTCATCATATCTCGATAATCCAGATAATTTAGAACATTCTCGATTTTTTACATCTGGAACAGCTAATTCACATTTAGAAATTATAGTAAACTTAGATTAGTTTTAACTCTTTAATTCAACTTCTTATAATTGTGATGCGATATATGGCGTGATTTGTAATCTTCTACAGGACGTTCAATTCAAAAAGAGAATATGTTGATTCTTGGCCTCTTATTAGGACCAAATAAAGTAAAGTTGCATAAGATCAATCATTTTCTCGTACTAATAGTTGATGAATTACTAGAATTTTAGAATGAAGTTCATTTATCGGTTACAAGTAATTACTCTACTAGTAGGAATATCAGAATAGCTGTAATTTGTTGCAGCAATGATATTCTGGCTTCAAGGAAGTTATGTAGCCATGCATCAGCATTGATAGGATGTCATCAGTATTACAAAAGAGCAAGCAGCAAAAATAGACAAAGACCAAATTTCAGAGAGTTCAATAACATGTTTGATTGGTTTAAGGTCAAAGACCTGATAGAGCATCATCGTAATGCTCTTATTTGGAAGAAACAACAGATGAATGATGATAAAAAATAACATGTAAGTAGGACTTATATGAGGTGGTCAGAATTATTTCGCTTGCCCTATTACAACCCAATTAGACATCTGGTCGTGAATCCAGTGCATTGTTTGTTCTTGAGAATCGCTCAATAGATTGTGAAGTAATTGTAGATCGAAGGTGGAAAAGTTTCCAAATCTGATCTCAAATTGATGAAGAAGCGAGTGAAATATATTAAAGTACCAGCTGATCTTGGAAGAATCCCATTCAAAATTGCAATTAGTAAAGGATTTTCCAGTTTTATGGCTGACCAATAGAAATCTTTTATCATGATCTATGCGACTCCATTGATATTGGATCTTTTGGATGAAGAAGATCGAAAAATTTTGTTCAGTTTTGTAAGAACTTAGTAGCACATATTATTAATAATAATATATTAGATAAAGTCCAGTTCCAATTATTACAAGTTGCTAAACTAATTGAAGAGAATTATGGACTGGAAATAATTACTCCTAACATTTACTTATCCCTTCATATCATCAAATGTTATCAAGACTACGGACTATTATATTCCTTCTAGTGCTACTCGTTCGAAAGGATGAATGATGTCTTAGGTAAGTTATATGCCAATTGTTGTTGAACCTAGTTTGAATATATTTAGAATAGTTTTATTTAAAAAAAAATATTATCGATAGAATCTTTCCCAAACAGTCATTGCAAAATCGAGCTAGAATTATTAAGGATTATTATGCAGCATTGGTGACTTGAGGACCTTCTATCTACTCAATCAGATAATATGAAACTCGTTAAAAGCTTGAAATTAATACAACTCTGGACAACTTTAGGAAGCTTAGCAGTTTATGATAAATTTAAGTATATTGAGCTTTGTCGATTTAGGCAAATTTTCTATCTCAAAATCAAATATACAATTACTAGTTCTAAAGCTTTCCCTGGCAAGATGCTAGTCCTCAAAAAAGTCAACGTTAGTTTACCGGATGAAATATACAAAATTTTGGTAGATTATTATAATGCCGCATACAATTTTGATTTTTTATCTATTTCAAAATCGGTTTAAAGAAATGCAGTATGTTTCAACCATAGAATAGTTGTTCGATCTCAAGTCAATCAATTTAGACATGTTAGAATTGGAGCTGAAATCTTTGGATTGTCAAATATGTATCGATATTTAAAGAATTCATTTTTTCTCGTCAAATTTGTGCAAGAAAATTATTTGGTTGAGGTATTTCCTGATCAGGTTCAATATTTTCTTAAATATGAAATTAAACTATCAGAAGGAAAGCAAATACATCGATTGGCTTATGTAAAATGATTTATGTCAGCTTCAGATCACCAAACAAGATTTTTTTGTCAAATTGATAATATTAAAAGTTGTAATATGAAAATTTGGCTAAACAGATTTTATGATATCAGCAGTGATTGTATTATACCAATACTCAATATATTTAGCCGATTTATACCTTATAGATTCAAAATCAGCAAAAGAAAGCTGATTACATATATGGCTGTTATTCTATTAGGAAGATATTTTCACATGTAATTCTATTGAAAATTGACCACATCTTGAAGTAAAAGTTATGGATTTTTATCATCTATATGGTTACTTTTATACTAATTCATAATACAAAACCATAATCTTCTTCTAACCCTAATATATTATTGATTTAACGAAGAATTTGGAAAATATGTATTTACGAAAGTTTTAAATTTTATTACGATATTATTCTTTATAATAATTAATATTTTCAGTATTGTTCTGATATCAAATAGCTAAAAATTTTAGCTGCATGATCTGTGAACTGCAGTATATTATAATGACGTCTAACTGCAGTATACAACAATATAAAATTGATCATCTGGCATATTTTTGATATTAACTATATTAACTATAAACAGCAATCAAATTTATATTCAATCTGTAATAAATACCGGCTTCTTTTTGTTTTGCATAATCGTAATCCTGAATGAAAAAATATCATACAATCGGTATTATTTTCAGTTAGATAGCATTTTATCTGGTATATTATAACCGGCAGTTGAATTGTATTTGCAATACAAATAATTATGAATCAGAAATTCAATATTAGCAATAAATATTAATCGGTATATCTTCTGATTTATGCCTTATTTACAATTGATGTCAGTTGCTTCTTAATTTTACATATTAATGATCTAATAGACTAATATAATCCAATTAGAATGATTGTCAGTTTAACATCATTTTACCTGTATAAGTTAAATTAAATTGGCTTATGTGAAGTTTTAATCATAAGAATTAAAAAAAAAATTAAAAATAAAAATAAATTATAAAGAAAATGATATATAGTTTTAAAATAAAAAGTATAATAAATTATGCTAAGAATATAAAGTTAAAGTTAAGATTTAAATTAATTAAAAGTTAGAATTACAATTAAAATTAGAATTAGAATAAGATAAGATTATTTTAAAAATAAGTAAAAATTAGTTTATTATATATATTGTAAAGATTAATTTAAAATATATAAAGATTAAATAAATATATAATTTGTTTTATTTATATTATTTTTATAATAAAAATATATAATAATAATAAATAATTAGATAACAGAAACTATTGTAATATTCAAAATATTAAAAATATTAATTTACAGTATAATATTTAAATATATCACAAAAAATATTAAATTTTTATTATTTAATATAAGAGTAATTACATCTGAAAATCAGATCTTATGATAACATAAAAATACATTTTATTAATTAATTATATATGGAGCCTTTGCAGTAGAAAAGTCGGAAACTACCCCAAAAACGAAAAATGGATTTTTGCTATATTTGGGTAAATCTTGATA